AAAAGGATTGCAAGAGGGAACAGCAATCAGACCCTGATCTAAGGGAGCTCAGGAATTACGGTGGGATACCGTATGTGAGCAGCAGCAGCAGCTACAGCACATGCCACAAAAGCCAGCCCTAACTGGAGAAAGGACAGTCACCTTCCACTTAGTCCGTATGTTGGCCAGTTCTTACCTTGACAGTGATTACACCCTTTCGTCCAACTTTTTTCATCGCATCAGAGATTATATTGCCAATTTCCTGATCTCCATTTGCAGATATCGTGGCAACCTAAAACAGTAAGCCATTTAACCTCATTTCACAATACAAGTGATTTGTTTCCTCGCTATAAAGAAAATCAGAATAACCATCTTCAATCCTCATGTTTCCTGACAAGACGGGGCAGTTGACTGTAGCACACCCACACCAGGACCCAAGAACTCCACTGGAAGGGCTAACAGCTCTTGGGCAGCTCAAGCACAGGGCCAGATCTCGTGCACTGGGCTCATGCAGCACACACGGGCCGTCTGAATCTGCGGCCATGGGGAGAAATACGCCATGAAGGCCAACACAGCTGGTGCCCAAGGCCCAGCTGGGCATCCACCTCAACCTGAACCTCCCAGAGCAGATCCACAACACTCCCAGAAGTCTGCCATCACCTCCCATCCACAAACACATCTTTGCTCTCGCCAGTTCTTCCCAAATACACAAGTTTATGTTTTAAGACTGCATTTTGGAACGCAAGATGAGAAAAACTACCTACTTCTGAACTAACTTCTAGCAGTGTAGTTGAAGGCAGAATACCGGGAACTTTAAATAACTCAAGAAAATGAAAGCATTACCATGAAGATCATTCAACGAAACATACTCTGAATCTTTATATACAAAGAAAAATACTCTCGTGTCACATACCCACAACCTAGATCCATTAAACCTGACTTCACAAAACTTTTTCTGAAGAATAGCTATGTAAAGTTGGTTTAATTTTTTTTTTTTACCTGTGCAATTTCTTCTGGAGTTGTAACAGGTTTAGACAGCTTCTTCAGTTCAGCTATGATAGCATCAACTGCAAGCATCACCCCTAAAGATGAACAGAATTACTTGTGAGTGAGCAAAACAAGGTATAAAGCACACACCCCACCCCCACCCCCCACACAGGTTAAGTTTTACACCAAAGTCCACATTGCAAAAATGCACCAAGTTTGCATGTTCAAAAACAAGTGACCAGCAGTTCTAGTTCATATTGTCACTTGTATACCTAGCGATAATTTTTTAGAATTGGTGTGACACACTTTCTGTCATGATCAACATTTACGGCGAATTTATTTACATGGCACCAATAAATTTAAATACTTATCAGAAATTAATTACATGCAGAAATGGCTTTAAATGGAGTTTAACTATGACAAATTAAACAAGTTAACTGCATATAAAATAGTAAAATTATCAGAAAAATAAAGACTTGTTCAGAGCAAATAACGTAACAGAAACAAGTGGATTCTCTACACATTGCTCTTCATGTAAAGCTTTATGTAGCTCTTCAAAAAGAAGGCAACTTATTCAGGAAGCCAGTCAAATTTGGGATATGAAAAGTAAAAAGACAGTGATTAAACATTAAAAACAAGGGAAAAAAGTTACCCCTCCTGATTTCTACTGGATTAGCTCCTTTGCTGATCTTCTCAAAGCCTTCCTTGGCAATAGCACGTGCAAGTACCGTTGCAGTAGTGGTACCATCTCCTGCTTCTTCATTTGTATTGTTGGCAACATCTTGAACTAACCTGGCTCCAATATTTTTGTATTTGTCTTTTAAGTCAATTGCCTTTGCTACTGTCACACCGTCTTTTGTCACTTTGGGACTTCCCCAGCTTTGTTCAATAATAACTGTTCTTCCCTAGGGTGACAAAGAACAAATATTAAATTAAAGCCACATAATCCACAGCATGTTACTCTAAGAGTTCAACTGAAGACAAAGATCCTTTTGCACAGCCACAGCTGAACAGAAACATCACCTCGCACAGAGCTTTCAGCTGGGACTTTTCTCAAGCACACACATTACCAAGGTTCTGCAAAACTGGAAAAATGGCTCAAAGGTTTTATACTTTCATAGAATGAGGCTTCATTCCCCAGCCACAATGCTTAATACCACAGACTAAGAAGCCTGCAACTAAGACTACCCTTACAGAGGAAAAGAATTGAAGAGATTTCCTCTAGCACTGATATTTTCCCCTAAAATTAAAATATAGCAACATAATGAATTAAATTTGCAAAATTTCCATCAAATCACAATAAAAAGTCTATGTGATTGAAAAACAGTAATGCAAAGCTCAATACGTTGCACGTTCGGGGGGGGAGGGGGGAGCAGACTTGCAAACCTTATTAGTGATTAGCAAAGAGAACTGAGAATACTTAAAATACTTGCGTTAATATGTTGCAATAATTTCTCAAACACTGCAAGTTAACAAGCCTTTCTTCTCTCAGCCCTCACTTGCGTTCAACTAAAAAGCTGGACTATCCTATGCAACATATACAGACGCAGTTAATATGGGAAACTATGGAGTGTACAGGGAACACGGGGCAGATGCACCTGCACAAGAGGATTGCTTGTTCCCAGATGAATTCAATAGCTTTAATGGCTGCCCCAATCAATCATGTTCCAGTTTTAGCTGGAAGCAGCAGAAATGCAAGAAGCCACCTCTGGTCCACTGCTGCCCTGAAACTCTTCAGCTATCCTGACAGCTGGAGCTGTTGGAAGAGGGGAAAAGAGAGCAACTGCCCCACCTCACCACTGTCACTCCTGGCTGACCCTGCACAAGTCCCCTCATCTGGCCTGTCGGGTCCAGCTCGGAGCTGACCACTCTGGCTCCTGCCGAAACACTGCTGTAGCTGATCAATCAAAGGCCAGCGAGGCTTCAGCTCCAACCAGAGTCCAGATCACGTGCCAAGCAAGCTAGCTAAGGACTCCCATACAGCATGCTACCGCGATGGTGCACTGTGTTCCTCGCTTGCACAGAGCCCACTCACATCGGCCTCAATGGTATAACTAACTTTGGATTCCTGCCATGCACGAGGCTATACTGCTCCTGAAGTACAACTAGCCCTAGAAGCTGCAAAAGAAACGTTAAACTTCAGTTACTAATGTTGAACTTGTGAAAGAGTTTACATAACTCTAACTCTGTGCTATAAAACAATTATGCCAAAATAACGCATAGTCTGACTTCTTACTGCTATTTCATTTGACCTGCACTTCTCCTAAATCTAAAAGTGGTTCAAGAGTAAGAAAACTCTGGAGGATCCTGCTACTGATAAGTTCTTCATGTAGTCTCTTCCTTGTTTTGCTTAATTTTATTCTCCATTTTGACATGGTCTTATTCCAAATGTTTGTTTGGTAGCTATAAGGAGAGCAGCACAACAAAATCTACTTATATCCAATCACATTAAAGGACTTACACTTATCTGTGTTTCTGAAAAAAGGAACGCCACCAGTAAATACACATGCATTTTGAATGGTCCTGCATACCAAGAATCCAAGCACCCGCATAAAGTAGTTCTGACAAAGTAATCAACGTGCTGGCAGCAATGTCAAAAGATTGCATGAGACTGCAAACCACATTTCTTTAAATATAGAACAGTGACAAAGGGAAGTTTCCTCACCAGAGTGATACTGTATTTTTTAAAAATACTGGAAGCAGAAACAGGCATTACGGTACAATCCCTAAATTTCTACAAATGCATGGAGAACGGCAGATAACGGGAGAACACTGGAACAAAACCCCACAAAGTTACAGCAAGTTGCATCAGGAACTGCCCTTTAACCAGTGCATTAGAACTATGCTTAGGCATTCACAAAGTAGCCTGATCCAAAAAACCAAGAGTTAAATTAACTGACTACACTTAAACTTTGTTCCTTTATGGAGAACAGCCACAGCTTGCTGACATCGCTGTTCCTTAACCTTCATCTGCTCAGCTTATGGCATTTTTGCCTTTGAATAAAGCTAATAGAGCACCAAAACTGTGCAAGAAATACACGAATGGATTTTACAGAGGCCAAGCAGCCTTGAGAAGAACTACCATGCATATGCTGTTATTATATGGAACAGACATTCCTATAAGCTCAAAGAAAATCAGTATCTCTTCCTTAAAAAGGAATCTCATTTCAAGCCTTACCGGACATTGCATGACTGTGCAGAATACAGTAGCTAGTTTTCCAAAAGATTTAGAACTTACAGGGAACCAGACCCTATATTCTGTGCTATAAGCAGCATAAATGAATGCCACTGCCACGGAATTTCACTTAAGCTCATAACATTTACCAGCCAACTGAAAACTCAACATTACACTTTCAATGTCTCTTTCACCTTGTTAATACTAAAAGGTAAAGTGATACAAAACTGTAATTTGTAAACACCCCCCCCCCAACCCGCAACAAACCCACATGCTAATTAACCCACCTCACAATATAGATAGTTAAATTACCTACTGCATTGTTGCAGACTATCAATTGAGCCATGGTAACCTATTATGCACATCCCCTTAACCTTCAAACTGTTTGCACCTTTCACAGTGATCCGACTCATTTTACTTTGTTACTATGCAAAGCACATGCACTATTGTCATGGTTCAGGTGACAAAAATGAGAATATGGCTGCGTGCAGTAGTCTGTCCATACCCCTACACCTTTGTGTTACAGATCTGCAGATGGTAATCATGCAGCTCTGCTGCAGGAAAACTAACAACTGTTTTCTACTACGGTGTTGTCAACCAGGTCAAAGCGTTAACATAAAATAAACACAAAATCTTCCATTACCTTTGGCCCCATGGTGACAGCTACAGCATCTGCTAGAAGATCTACTCCTTGAAGCATAAGAGCTCTAGCATCTGCTCCAAACTTAACATCTTTTGCATATGCTCGTGTTAGATGGGGGGCGAGTGCTCTGGACACAGGCCTTGTCTGACGGAGTACTGTAGATAAACGGAGCATGTCTAAAAGATTAAAACAAATCCAGAGGAAAATAGAAGCATTATGTATTTGCACGGCTACTTCTGGAATAAAAGAGGGGAAAAGGATTCAGGGAGTAAAGCAAGCGACCGTGAAGTTTTAGTTTTTCGACTGGCTGAAATGGAAACACACAAGCAACTGCAAGTAACGGGGCTGGGGAGCCCAGATCCTCAAGGCAAGATCTGGGCTGCAGCAGCTCCTCACTGAGCAGCCTCCAGCAACTCCG